AAGTTTCTGATCAAACCAAAGTGAGAAAGAACACAACATTTACCTGAAAATAACACTATGGGAAGTCAAACGTATCATGTGTTAAGGGTAAAATATCTTAAACGTCAATCAATCAATCAAGGGTTATTCCAAATTACTCTTTAGCTCTCTTTGGGCCCCCTTCCCTCAGAAGCTTTGTTCTCACATATTGAGGCAATATAGATGCAAACCAAGGGATAGGGTGTAGTTTTCGAGGTGCTCAATCCATGTTTCCTTCTCGGCCTTTTTGGTAGCGTGGATCACCGGATCTAAGCCTATAAACTCAGCCTTCTTCTCAGGTGCTTCGTTTTTCGCAAGGTAGAGGCGAGTGACTGGTGATGAACCGCAAGGGACCATGGGAAGGGTACAGACGCGCCTTCCCTTGCGCGCACATTTTCATCGAGAGAGACGTCTGGGTACAAGGCAGCTATAAACTACCAGTCAAAAACCTGAACTACCTACAAGCCAATTTTTTTACATATTAACAGAATGATGCAACCATGTTTACTCTTTAGTTAAAGCTTTGAGGGTCTTTTATGAATATCCCCGTCGAGAAAATAGGTCACAAAAATGTCCTACTGTATTTACATAACCCCCTCTAATTAGAGACTCGTATTTGGGCACAAAACCTCCATCGAAGGAGCTTTTACAGATAACATGCTAGAAATAGTTTCGAAACGAAGCTGTGTTGAAGTACTGAAATGCAAGCCTGGTTTTATTATTCCACTAATAGAATGAAATAACCACTTGAAATACCCTTACTTATCGAGTTATCCATCCGTACTGTAAGTTACCGAGTGGATTTTTTCCCCATAAATCAACAGAAAAAATGAGAATCCGCAACTACGGACCCAGAAAAAGAGATTATAAACATACTATAGGATATCTATTTTATCTCCAAGGTTAATTAGCCGCCCAGGAAAGAATACTTGCAAATTTAGCGGCTCGTATGTGTTAGTTTTGAAACGCTCTTTTGTTCATTTGTCCTATAATATATTTTAGTTGCTCTAAGACAGTTTTATTTTTAGGTTATAAAACGTGATTATATCAATCTTTCTAGAAACATTTCGTAGGTTTTCACGCTTATGTCATGGTGCGGTACTTTCCGCTAGGAAACGCGTAAAGCGTAGGTACAGTTTTACTTAGTTAACGCCCTAGGCAGAATACACGTATACCAAGAGACTATAAAGGGGACAGAGGGGGCATCCCCCATATACACACTATTCCATAGGTAATTCGTCTCGAGTTATTTTTAGAATCGGGATAAAGTTACCTCGCGCGAGGCGTGGATGTTTCGTGGAGGTTTCGCATGACCAAACGCCGTGCAAAACATGTCGGGGGAGAGGCAATGAAAGCGTAAAAAGATCGAGAGCATTCCTGAATCTTGAAGCGAAATGAGTCGGCGCTCACCTGGACTCTTTGACAACCCGTGAAATCAGTTTAACTCGAAGTTGTCGTATCCTTAGTGCTTTAATAAAATGAGAAATTTCGCCGGTCTATTGAAACCGCTCGTTTGTACAATTTAGGGAGTTTAAGGTGATTCCCTAGTTTTGCACTGCGCATCTCTTACTGCGCATAACAAGGTGGCTGCCGTAAAAAAGAGCATGTGAAGTAATATTATTAAAATGAAGTTGACTGAAGAGAAACGCTATTGGAATTTTTGCTTGCTGTTGTTTCTTGCCGAGGTGAGACTCAATGTGTTGGGAATCTGCATAACGTAAGCAGTACGCGTGTTGCTGAGTTGGACCTCCTCTCGGAGAACCTCGATAGTGGATGTTTAACTTGTGCTTACTCACTTTGATTTTCATTTAAACACTTTCTTCATCACATTGTGCCCTAAATGTGATATCTCGATGTAAATTCTGAAAAAACGGATTTTTTAATACTTTCTTCCCCCTTTCACATACATTCTATTTTGAAACTCGCCCCAGTCCTCTCTCAAAAATCGGAGAAAATGCGTTTGGTGCGCACTTTGTGCAGCTCTACCGCAAAAACGAGTACGGTGACCCCCATTTTTTATTTCATGATTTTAATAAGGACAGTGCTTCCTTTCGATGCGAAAAAAATTGGCACAAATCTATGTTCATTTTTTTGGCAATGTTACTAAATTGTACGGATTGAGCCATCACGGGTCGAAAAGCGCGCGTCCAATTTAATTCTATTTTGGACCGTAAAGTCAAAACAAGGGCATTAAAAGGCATTTTTCTGGTACGTAAGTGGATAAACAATACATATAAGTCAAATTCTGTGTGATGTCACATGCATCATCGAAAAAATCTCTCCTTTTTGTCTAGTTTTGCGTTGCCCGCGGTTTTTGTGAAAGGGTCCTAAATAGCCGTATTTGTCAGCATTGTGACGTCAAAACGAGCACGGTGACCCCCACTTTTTATTACTTTTTTATCATCTTCTTGACTTGTTACATCAGTGTACCAAGTTTTAGCTAAAATCTATGTTAGGTTCTTTTACTATGGAATCACCTTAA